TTTGGGTGTCTTAGATTCTTTTTTTATTTGTGAATATTACTGTATATCTTAATAGGATTTAAGTACTTTCTACAGCAGTATCAGCACTTATTGGCCTGTTATTGTTCAGTAAATTCAGTCTTATTTTCTAGTTTCTATAAAATTTCTTTTTTTTTTTTAAATACATAGGCATAGACATAGGCCTTTAAGGTCTTACAAGATGACATGCATCATAGGAGGGCAGAATGCAAAAAGTGGAGAGTGGCCCTTCCAGGTCAGCCTTCACTACTAGACATCTGGCCATGCTTGCAGCACCTCAATCATCTCGAATAGGTAGTTTTTGTCTGCAGTTCAATGATTCGAATTCTCCCCAGAGTGAGTTACACATTTCCTGCACTTACAGGCATGCACAGAAAAAATAAGTGCAGCTTTTAAGATTGTCTCTTTGCATCATACTATTACATTTTCACAGTTTGATTCTGCTGAAAAACAATCTACCAGAACATAGTACACAAAATATTACAAATTCCCTGCAAATTCTTGTTTCTAATTTATGGCTCTCTTTCTGTGTTCATCGAAGCAGCCTGTTGGTGGTGCACTAACCATACTGTTCAGCCTGAGCACAGTCTTATTAGAGTCATTTATCATGACTGATTGTTTTTTCAGAGATTATTTCAGAATATCGAAATGGTTGAATTAATTAAGATGAAACATTTAAAAGTGTTAAACACTTAGATTTTGAAAGATTTGGGATTTTTATTGTTACTCTTTGAAGACATTGCCTTTGAAATTGTGTTATTTTTGATAAAACCATATTAATCTGAAAATTAACATAGCATGAAATATATATTGTGGAGGACCAGTGTAGCTCCCAGGATTCTATTGGAGTCCCTTCCTTTTGGAATATTATATAAAGGACAGCAGGTGCAATTTAAAGCACTGGTTTTTAATTGTCCGGTATTCTTACAGTCCATATATTCATATTTCATTCACGTTAATATTCATCTCATGGCTGTAAAGCACAGCAGTAACAAGTAACATGACAGACAGATCAAGCATAAAGATTTAAACAATCCTGAAAAGAAAGCCAGGCATTTAATATAAGTAAAGGATTTACTAAATGTTTATAATATTTCTACATGGTTGTCTTCATGCCAACGGGCCTACCTATAGTGGTTTGCAGTCTCAGTTTAACACAAATGAAGCATCATCCTCCACCTATATTATAAAAAAAAACAAGCCACTGGAGTTCTGCATCACCATCCAACCAAACCGCCTCCCTTCATACTCCCACATCTTTTTGCCACGGGAAGAAGGTATTTGGCTTTAATTCTCTGATTAATACTTGCATTTTTTTTTTTTGTATTATTATGGCCAAAGTTATTTCTCTGGTTCTCTGTAATAATTGATTAACTCATTTGTCACTTTTTTCCCCTTTTTTGTGCTTTCTTATGCGAGTTTCTTCCCTTCATCTTTATCTCAGTTAATTAGGAATCTTTTCTCTGCTTTGATGTTACTCCCATTTTTTTTTTTTGTCTCACACCATGGCATATTTTATCACTTCTTTATCAGGCCTCACTTTTCTCTTATCTTTTTTGTCTGTTCTGCCCCATCCACTTAAGTCACCTTCCCTATGTGTAAGATCAGCATGCATTCTCACTCTCTTGGGACGTTTCCTAAACCCTTTCTTAATAACATCTAATACAGGATGTTACCACCTTTGATGTTGGCTGTGAACATGAAGGTAATGTGGCAACACGGTAACATGCTGATCTATCTGTTTCCCCTTTTGAAGGTCCCATGGTGATTGTGCTGCAGAAGTCACTTGTGAAAATCATCAGTGATGACGTATGCAATAGGGTCATTGGGGAAGGGTCACATCCAGGTTGTTCTGCAGTGGAATCCTCATGGGAGGAGTCGCTGTGTCCAAGGTGGGTGAGTACAACATCAGCAAAGGAAGAAAAGAGGGAGATTTTGACATCTTTGCAATCCCTGTGCTCTCACATCCAAACCTGGTCTAATTATTTTTACTTGGTCACATATGACGCTCCACAGGGAGACTCTGGAGGCCCTCTGGCATGCCTTTAGGAAAGCGGGAAGTGGTTTCAGGCTGGCATTGTGAGCTGGGGTGAGGGCTGCGCTCGTCAGCACAAGCCTTGAATCAGTGTAACCAAGCTCAGAGAATGGATCAAAAAGAAAAAAAGCATTTGAAGACCAGGAAGATGTGAGGAGAAGCAGTTACAAACAGTAGTATTTTAGTATGATTTTATTAAGATTGAGGCCAACTCTCTTTGGGTTTACTCTCTTTAATAGCCAGCATAGCATACTGTTTCCTAGGGCCCAGCTGTTCACATTAATGACTTAAAACACTTTATTTGGTTGCTGACTTCCCACAGGAACTCCATAGACTCGTTTTAAACACTTTCCAAAGGTTTTGCATCCCTGCCTGTTGTTCTGACATCTATTCACGCAGTATGTCACAGGTGGATACACTCTACAGTTAGAACAAACCATGATGAATTCCGGAAGACTTTCCCTTGCAAGGGTTCTTTAGTTTGATTTCATAAACACTTCAATTTTGCTGTTTTTCGATGCACATTGTTGCCTCAAAAATGACCTAGTTTGTAACATTGCAGCATTGTAATATTTGTTTTGTCTGTTTAAAGTAATATCTGACAGGTAGATGATGCCCCATCATTTCACCGTAGCTTTAGAGTGAAACTTTAAACTTAGACAAAACCACAAATTTGAATAGAAATACTTAAATAACATAATCAATGAAGGAAACTGGACCAACACCATTTAAAGTGCATGTTCATGTTATCCTTAGAATGCATTAATACCTGGCTGAAATGGAAGAAAAAAATTGCATCAATCAGTCTAAAAGCCTGTAATTTACTTTGGAAAACTGCCAATGGTTAAAGTGTGCCAAACTTATAATCAGTGGGCCCAACTAAGCAAACATCTCAGTATCCTCCAAGATATATTTTGAAATATTTTTTGTTCTTTTATTTTTTGGTCTGCATGTTCTCTGACTTTTGGCAAAATTAGTAAATTATTTGACAAGATATATCCATACAAATAGATGTGTGGAGGTTGAACTGTAGATTTAGCAGCTAAAATAGCTACATTTAGCATGGGCCCCTGATTAAAACTCCTTTGTAACCAATGCCTAAGAGTTATGCTGACATAAAATGGACTGATAAACTATAAAACCAAATAAAAAATGTTTATTTTTGGTATGTAGTTCTCTCTGCAAAACTAGCGTGTGAAAAAAAAACACATAATGAAGTTACCAATTTCTTTTTTTTTTTTTTTAGCAGAAAAGCTACAGTCGCCACTTTTGTCTCTCATAAGATAAACAGTATCTTATAGACAGAAGCCCTAATAAGTGATGGGTGATGCTCCTGTTGTCTTTCTCATCTGTATTTTTAAGGCGTGCTAGCCCATTTTCAGCAAACCTACAGGTAAAGCTATGCAATTGGTAGAAGAGGGACACAGCTTTAATTACCTCTGCATATGATGTGCAAATAGTCTTTTGATATATTAAAGCAGACTAAAATGGTGACGGAACATTTTCATAAATTTTGACGTTTGTACAATTTGAACATGTCTTGTCTTGAAGAGATATGACTTGTATATCATATTTTCTTACTGAATGCTCTGATTTGGAGTTCCATTGTGTGCCTGCTTGTTTTATGGTTTTATATGAAAGAATTTTACAGATAAACTCCTTTTTATTTGGCCCTGCAGAGTCTAAATACATCACCTGCTTTTCCCGTCTTTGACGCATTCTTGTTTGGTAGATTATATTTTACATAATAAATGCATGTGTTGAGAGAACTCATCCCTTCCCACAGTGGAATTGTAATGAGGATGTACCTCTCCTCCCTGTTGTGAGCAGCGTGCTTACCTGGGGAACAGAGATGACAAGACAAGCTCCTATTGTCAAATAATACCTTTCTTTGTCACAGCTCTATCTTATTACCCTGCCAAATGGGCATGTTGACTTCAGGAGGTGGATACACATATAGTGGGGAGTGATGAGGGATCTACTGTCTCATCTGTCTTCATTAAAGTCACAGCAGCAGTGGGAAAATTGGAAAATCAACATAGACAGTGCTACTAATTTATGTATTCATCACTTTTGCTACATGGGAAGCTTTGTTTGTCGATGTGAAGATCCGGCTGAATATCTTCCAGGATTTGCCAGAGTCTGTTCTTTACTGGAAATGGTTTTATTTAAATATAAATATGTGTACAAAGGTACAAGCAACAATATCTCAGTTCTAGCAAATAAAATTATTAATACATCAATATAAAAATGAAAAAACAAATGGCATTTAGTTGTGTTCAACTAAAAGAAAATGAGCATTTTAACTGCAGTTGATAATTAAACAACTCCAATGTGAAAAACTGACAGCGACAAAAAAAAATCAAAAGACAGATTACAGATGTATATAAAGATTTACTTTACAATAGCAGCTCATAAGCTGTACTTTAAGGCTTATATAAAATATAAAAATAAAAGACAAGCAATGATGTTGGTCTTCTCTCTTTCAGTGACAGTTTGTTCACTCGTCAGGCTGCCCTGGCACTAGCTCGCATAGACAAATGGCAGTATGGAAAACATCCAGGTAGTGATCAGATGAGGAGAATCCCATATGCTCAAACGTGAAATGGAGATGAATATAAACGCTGAAGGTTTGTCACAAGACACATTGTTTGCATGCAACAAAGAGAGAGAGAGCAAGAGCCATTTGTACAGATGCAGAGTGTTTCAGGGTAGTTCTGGTTCTTGTAAACATAGTAAGACAATTCGATTGAATTTGTAAAACTTTAATGATCCACATTAGGACCACCAATGACCTATCACATAGCTTTTCTGAGCCTTTCAGTGGTTGAAACTATGTTCAAGTTTAGAGTTCGAGATTGCCGACATTTTCCTCAACACAGCTTTTGATTGTTCCTATCTTTGTTTTACAATCAGAAAACAACAAGTGTTGGCTCATATTTTTCCCCATACCGCTCTTACCATCTTTTAAGTTTCCGTCCTAACCTTTTCCTTCTTGCACATGTTTAACATTTACTGTACACACATTCTCCTTGTGTTTCCACGTTATCCGCTGGAGAACAACACTTCAAAAGTCCAAAACATGTCATTACCAGTGGATGCTCCAGGAATACAGCTACACAAGATGTATTCCGCTCTTCATACAGTACAGCGCCAGCAGCACTCGTTGGCCAGTACATCTAGCCTGTTGTGCAGAATAGGATAAGCCTGTCTCTGTAAATAGCTCAGTCTTTTGTTAATGATAGGGACACAAATGTGCTTAGAATTGCTTTCGCATGCCAACAAGACATCATATGACAGATTAACAAAACGAAATGTTGTCCATATTGTTCTTTATTTTTTGTTGGTGTTTTCTTTTCTTTGAATATGTTAAACCTTTGTGAGATCTTCTTTCCAAGTATTCATGTGGTCATTTTTGACATGTAGTGTTGACTCAGAGTTAGGAACTGGAATGCAGGTTTAAGGATATCCCAGCTAAGATGTAGTCGTGTTCCACTTGACCCCTTCCATATTCAGACAATTCGTGTAAAACCTGCTGAGGCATCACACACACACTGTTAAATTTTCCATCTTCAGATCCATCAAAGGGAAGTTTGGTTATCCAACGACCATAATCATAGCTGTTCAAACAAATCCTTGCAGGACTGTCTGAGTACATAGGTCTCTTATCATGTTATTTCAACCACAAAAATGGTATCTACTCACTTCTCCTACTTTTGATTCTGTTAACATTTTTCGTGTCCTATCAGACATGAGTCTGCATCCGTTGAGTCTGCCGGCCGTAGTCGGACTGTTGGGAAGACACTTGAGAGGAGGCGTAGGAGAAGCGAGATGAGCTTGACACCTTGCTGGCCTGATCTGATTGGTCATACGCATCAACCTTGTCGTAGGAAGATGGCTTAACATAGCTGGTGAAGGCACGACCGTAGGTGGCAGGAAGGTAGGCCGAGCCACTGTAGAGGGGATCTGTGGGATACATGTTGGCTGATTGGGTCGGCGACTGAGGCTGCTGCTGCTGGGCTTGTGGCTGCTGTTCGTATGAAGATCTGCTCACGGTGTTGGTGGCACATCGATGGGAGAACTCGTAAATACGAGGTTGAGTGCCATGCTGGCCATATATAGGGCTCGGGGAAGGCAGCTGTGATGGTGTGTAGACTGGCCGTGAGTTGGGCACGTACTCTGAAAAGCCACTGTTGCGGATGTGACGATCATCATGGCCCCGGACATTGTAGTATCCGTTGGTGGGGTCCTAAGATGAAAACAAAGAAAATACAAATCCTAGCTATTAAATATGCTTGATATTATTTATTGTTGTGCAAAGGTCTAAGAAAACAATAGTGCATACAGTTCTTGAAGAAATATACAAACTCCTAAAGGTTTTCAAGGTGTTCTCATGTTGCCACTCTCAACATATATCATGGAACACCTATTAAGATGTAATGCAATGGATTATGTTTTCTAATGGATATTTAGCTTTATTTATCTCCCAGAGCTCTAACTGATTTAAAAGTTTTAGCTAAAAAAAAAATCCCTCCTTCAAGATAATACTACCACAACCATGGTCAGTCTGTTGGAATTGGTTAACAGTCAACTATAGCCCCATTTACACTACCCTTCTGAAACTGTGCCAAGATCAGTCTGAGCACGGTAACTGAGATAACTGTTGAGTGTAAATGGCACACACAACTGAACTGGACCACACCAGACAAAACCAAACCGCGCTAACATACAGTAGTACTCTTTCATCAGTAGTGCTCAGAGCAGTTCAGTTCTGGATCGGTTCTAAGATGACCAAGAGCGCATGAACAGACCATGTTATCTCCTTACAGTCAGCCTCTGTAATCATGAAATTTCAGACATTCATAAAAATACCAACTTGTTGCTTAGTAGTGTGATGAACCCAGAGATGGGAAGTAACGAAGTACAAATACTTCGTTACTGTACTCAAGTAGATTTTTCTGATATTTTTACTTTACTTTACTACTTATTTTTATGGCGACTTTTTACTTCTACTCCTTACATTTTTACACAAATATCTGTACTTTCTACTCCTTATATTTTAAAAAATTGGCTCGTTACTTTAGTTTTGAATCATTTCAATGGAGTTACCGTTATTATTTTTCACGTCATCAATACCAAATTCAATCTAATTGGATGGGAATCTATGTTGCATTTGACGCACCACTACAAGATGAATCAACAGATGCGGCGGTATTCATTCGCGGCAAATCATTGCAGCTTGGTGGTGGTGGCGTTAGCATAGTAGTATGGACGACGAGATGATTGAAAATGAACACAACGGAGATCTAGTCCTATTGGCAGACATCCATTTAAAGTGTAGGCAACGGCATGAAAAAAGTGGTTTCTACTTTTACTTTTATACTTTAAGTAAATTTACAAGCCTATACTTTGTTACTTTTACTTGAGTAAAGAAGTTTAATAAGTACTTACACTTTTACCAGAGTATTTTTTAACACAAGTGTCTGTACTTTTACTCAAGTACGGAAAGTGAGTACTTTTGCCATCTCTGGATGAACCTAAACTCCTGTTGTTGTTGTTAACTGCATCTGTAAGCCCTGATTAGACTTTCCTGATATCCACTTTCTAAAAGTCGATTCTGTCAAGTAAATTCACCTAAGGCTGCCTTCTTTGCCTGACTATCTGCAAACTTCCTGAATGTTACGGGTGGCGCCATGTTGATTTGCTTGTTTACCTCTAGAGAGCAGTAGTACTGTAGATTGTCATTAGGAGGTGAGGAACCGTGCTAGCGTGGTGTGTAAATGGTCGTAAGGAACCGAGTTCGGCATTGTTAACTGATCCAAGCTCGGCACTGATCGGTTTTTAGAGGTTAGTGTAAATGGGGCTTAAGTCTTAGGTCTTTGTTGGGTTAAGGTGTGAGAGGTCTAGAATTTGTCAAAATGTTTTTTAATCTAACCCTTTTTAAACATCTCAACAGCTATCCCTGATCTAGCTGCTTTTTTTATGAGGCCTTCTCCAAAGTGAATTATTTATTCTAAGAACAAACTACAGGAGATTCTGTTTATGAACCGATTTCTTTTTTGGGTTACAAAAGAAATGTGTCTGGATATATGTACAACTTTCTTTTAAAAATGTGTTTTGTTAAAATGATAAACCAAAAATATGTTGGAGTAAATGATGCAAAGTGATATATTTGAGAGGTAAGTATAAGTTGTAAGAATGTTGTAAAATACTCTACTTTGTACATTGATGGTCGTTTTTTTTAAAGTGTTTTGAGTTTTACCTTGATGTCCGATCTTTCGTCGTCCTCCTCCTCCAGGAGGTCGCTGTGTTCTGTGCGAGATGTCCCTGGAGACTCACTGCTGTTTGGAGCCTGAGGGAAGACCAAGCATTTCTAAAGAATTACAAGAATGAATAAGACCTTGCTTGAATAGGAACAAAAGGACAGTTTGAAGTTTCTGTTCCAGTGTCAATGTAACCCCTTTCTTTGTAGCTCGCATCACTGTCTAACTCACAGGGAAGTCAAAAAAAATATACATCACACCTACCATTGGTTCTTTGACATCCTCCTCATCATCGTTGCCGCGAGAAGCGTTGTGATCACTGTGAACAATCTGAACCCTGATATCACTCTTGGAAAGTCGAGTGCATCTTTTACCTGTGGGAGTTGAAAAGGGTCTCAAGTGACTTTGTTTTTAACATTTACATATTTAAATCCAAGATAAAACTGCAAAAAAACAAAAATCTGCATTCAGCATGAGAAAAAAGAGATTTGTTAGATATGAAGAATTTTCTATCTCGCACATACTGACCGTTAAGCTCACCTTTGCCTGTGTGTCGGCAGCAGAGGGACACCAGCGTAATCACACAGATGAGCAGGACACAACCCCCACCTACTGCTCCCCCAACAATTATCAGCATAGGTAGGGCTTCTGTTATAGAAGAAGAAAAGGGCAGGGGTAGATGGAAGAAAGACAGTATGTCAAAAATTTGAGGAAAAGAAATCAGAGGAAACCAAGAAACTTGTCTTCTTTAAATTCCTTAAAAACACTGTTGCTATAAATCCATAAAACGTATGCTTCAGTCTTCTCACAGCGTCTGCAGCATATGTGCATGTGGACAATTCTGCATCGTGGTGCTTGACTATTGTCTCTAATCTCTCTGATGGTAGGGTAACAAGGCCTGACATGCTATGAAGCAATAGACAGTAATCTAATTAGAGATTCCAGCAGATACTGCTGCCCTTCTCTCTCTGGAGACCCCTGCTCTGATACGTTGATGTAAATCACTGTCGAGGACCCTGTTTAAGGTGTTTGTAAGTTTAACATTGGCTCTGCTAATTCTGAAAAAAAAAAAAAAACAGGTAAATTCAAGACCACTTCAGGGGGTTTGCAACCTCATTGTCTGAGCCTAGCTATGCAGTGGTGATAGAGATTAAGATCTGAACCACATACACATGTCGTTCCTTATCAATATCTACGTTATGGGGAAAGAATATTCATTAATATAAACATGATTAAATTACAATTAATTAGAAGAGTATAATTAAGATAACCGCAAACAGATGCTCAGTTTTCTCTTAATCTCTAATGTTCTTGTATCAGGAACTGAAAATAACACTATTACACTATACACCTTCTATAAAAAATGTTAAAATATGTCCAAGCTTAGGTCACCTTAGCTTATGCAGCTGTAATTACACTGCAGAAATTGTACTTCTCATGTAGGGATGAGTAATACAACAGAGCTAGCTGCTATAGCAGGGCACAAAGCTGCAATTTAAAATGTTGCCATTGCAACAAATGCTGTGATTTATTAGTAATTATAGATTTTTAAACGCCCTTCTTAAAATTTATTAATGAGCATATAATGATTTCATTATTCCTGTTGCTGAGCACGTGGCTCCAATATCATAATTTGTCATCCACTATGACAAATTAACTCCAACAGCCAGCCATCTGCTTGCGGTATTTACAAGACAGAAAAGACTTTAAAGATCAAGCAGCAGAAAGTATAATCCACATGGTTACCCTGTTTATACCAGTAAGGATTAACACAGGAAGCAGGATAAGTGTAATTTAAAAAGTCAATGAGTTATTGCTGAAAATATGGTTATTAATCATGTTGTGCTTGTTTTAGCAACCATTTGCTATGGATGATATTTGTAGTGATCATATTATCATCTTTTTTATTGGGGCCACTGAGCATAGCTGTTTTTTTCATTAGTTTATTACGAGCCACCATGACAAAAAAAAAAAAAAAAAAATCAGCATTGTTTAATAGTCTACCAGTAATTATAAGATGACAAAGCTTTAGAAAATGAAACAGCAGATCCTTATTTCTCCATATTGTGGCCATCAAAGCTATGATTAGTTATGCAACACAGCTGACTACTACAGGAAGCAAGAAAAGTGGTTATGTTGCAGGGCTGTCAACTCTCACCCATTGGGCGTGAGACTCCCGCATCTCAGGGTCTTCAAACCCTTTCACTCCATATCCCCACTTTTCCACACTAAGAAATATCGGACACTAAAACTCAACTCCATCCTGATGCCCTGTTTATACCCAGTCATATTAATTTATATTATATTATATTAAAAAATACCGGGATTTCTGAGCAGTTATTACAACGTATGTCATTTGAACTTTTATCTTTATGTTATCTAGACTAAGATTATTCACTTTGTAAATTAATGAAGACCTTAATCAATCTAGTACTTCAGTAAATGTGAATAGAATGTACATCAGCTAGCTTAAATTATCAATGTAGAGACTGAGTGTAGGATCACATAAAATGGTTTGTTTTCTCTACACATAGTGTTTTTTTTTTAGTGAGGTTTAATCCTTGTTTCCTCTTATTTAGCCAACTGATTTAGTCCCAGTTTTTATCCATGTTTTCCCCACAAGTTAAATAATTATTGCTCAGTCTAGTTGAATAATCCCCCATTGAAATTTGGAACTAATTAAACCAACACAACTATCTAAATTCTTAAAGCTTTGAGGTATGCCTTACCAACCCATAGGAGGTCCACAAAAAAGAACCATTTAATTCTATTTGTCAAAAGATCAGCGACCAAAGAAAAGACCAACCAGATACACAGAGGATGTGCAGAACAACTCATTTATCCAGGATTGATAAAGGAGGAACCACAGGGACGTTCTAATTTTTTTTATTATTTATTATCCTTATTTAGGTCCATCGAATATGTTTAGAAACTTAATTTCCATCACACCTTCCAAAATTAAACATTCAGGGGAATGCTGTCTTGTGTCATGGTAAGTTTCTATAGAATCTACTAGGGCTTAATCGGTTAATTAATCGGTTTATTAATCGTGATTACCGGTAATCAATTGTTGAAAGAATCATTAACTAATTTAGTAATTGATTAATAGTTAACTGGAATATAGAGAGTCTAGAACATGCTTTTGCTGACAGAGCAACCTACCTTGGGCAGAAATTATACCAAAATTGTAAAACAAATATTTTAAAATGTTGTATTTGAAATAAAAAAACTTTTTCATCTGTCATCATGCTCTATTGAGAACTCTTCAAGTGGAAAGGTTTTAGCTTAAGCTAGTTTAATTTTGTAAAAAAATTCTTCTTTAAGGAACCTTTGGTTATCTGATTAATAATTGAACAAAATAATTTAAAGGTAAATTTATTTTGCAAAATAATGGTTAGTTGCAGCCATAGGAATCTACAGACTCCTAGAGGGTCTGAATTGTTCAGCTGTTTTGTTACTTTTAAGAAAAACTAATAGCATAGTGAGTTAAGATTTTTAAATGCTTAGCCTATTACCAAATATTCATAGACAGTGAAGTTTGCATGGGATTTGATTCCACTGGTTCCTGTATTAGTGTCAGTATTCCACTGATAGCTTATTAGTTCCCCATTGTTTATTTTACTTGAACTGCATAGAATACTTAATAAACATAGTTGTGAAATTATTAGTTTACGGTTTATTTAAGATGAAGTATTTTATTAGGTCCCATTCTTCTTTACTCCAGTTCTCTAAAAATCACCAGACATTAGAAAATATATAATGTTTATGTATAATGTGTGAAAACATTTCCAGATAACTGCAGATAATTTATGGTTATTCAGTAACATTTACTGTGTTATCAAAAATTCCCCATTTAGCCACTTTGTTTCAGTTAAATCCTCTTAAAACCTACAACCTGTAGCTGCACCTATCCTCAGAGCCTTTTAATCTGACCATGACAAGGGTTGCCTCTCCAAACTATTTTAAAATCTCACTCACGGTTTGGTGAAAAGTTGGCAGCCCTTGTGCTGTAATTTTATTTGGTTTTGCAGTTTCTGCTAATTGGATTTATGGGACAGATCTATGTTAATATCATTTTAACATTATATACAGAGCCGCTCTCAATGTTTACCTTGCTCTTTCAGTGTCACCAGTGCAGTCCCTGTGCCGAAGCGATTCCAAGCAGTGCAGTTGTACCGCATCTGAAAATCCTGAACCAAAGTCTCAGACAGCACCAGAGAAGACTGGACTCCATGGTCAGTGGTTACAGTCTGCACTGAGTAACGACCAGAGGATCCAGAGGACAGACTCATGTCCCCAAAGGTCCACACCTGTGGAGGGTAAACATTAGGTTGGAAATTACTTTTTTACGTAATGAATCTCTGAACAAATGACCAACGCAAAGGCATGCACACTTGTTTATGGATCCCTGTCAGCTGCTGTCAGAACCAGTTTATCAGTTTATTCTGCTCTCCATCTGCTGACCTCCAAGGTGCTCTGTGGCTGACATGGCTCATAGGCTCATCCTTAAGCTACCATCAATATCTACCCTGCGGGTGAGGCCCAACGAGGGTTAGGAGGCCATGCAATGAAATAGGGATCCTCTCTGCTGTCTTCAGCTTGAGGACAGCAGGGCACCTGTCTCTCACTCCTCTTCAAACCTTAATTATCCCATTCCAGCCCAGTATACCTGCAGCGGTTCAACAGGGTCAGCTGAGCGATGCCTCTCTGGCTGCTAATTGAATGTAGTTCTGTAAATCCTGCAAAACCCCCATTGTGCGCTGCTCCCCTCACTCTGGAATCCTTCCAGCCTCTCTGTGCAATTACAGCTGTGAATATGTGCACCCAAGTGTGTGTCTTTTAACAAGTCAGGCTGAGGTGTGTTGGAGCAAAGGTCTGATGCTGAGGTCAGGGCTAACATTCCTCTGACTGCGGTCTAATGTGGGTGTGGTAAGTAGAAATATTTCAGTGTTTTATTCTCCCACAAATGATTAAATAAACCACTACACAAACAAAGAGGCTTGCTTACAATCTTATCAGGTGGAGGGCTGCTTCCCACGCGGCACTCAAGTTTGCCCTTTGAGTGCTTGACAGCATGCTGTGTTGCGTCTGCTGTGATGATAGGTGGACCTGGTGTGAGGATGGCAGAAAAATAGATAAAGGAATTGTTTTACTTAACTGAAGCTTCAAAAAAAAACAAAGAATCCATAACCTACCAATTTAAGACGTTAAAACATTTAAGATATTGTTAGCTTCATTATTGTTATAGGGGAGTACACAGAGCAAGTTAAGGTCAACAAGTCGGGATGTCTGCTACAGAAATTTAGGAGAGTCACAGACAGTGCATTCATTTTTTAAATCACCATTTTAGTGAACTTTGTAAACCTCTGCAGTGAGCATCTTTAGCAGTTTTTATTAACCAGCCTAGCTGGGGATGTGGCTTTAACATGTTCGTCACCCCAAAACAGATTTTTTTGAATCGTGTAACTTCCTTATGTGGTAAAAAATCAGATCTGTTTCCGATAGTTTTCAAAGCGCCTGCAGTCTGAGTGGTCATGTTGCATTTCATCTGACTCTCCTGTTAATCATCTAGACTCTGACTAATCACTCATAGACTCTGACTAATCATTCATAAAGAACCCTCTCTGGCACAGCAGTCACTGCTTCAAAAAACACATTATAAACAGTTCTGTTCTCTTGTCTTACATTGCGTTCTTCTTGTTATGATATGATTATATTGTTGTCAGCTCTCAATGTCAGATAAATTATAATAACATAGAGACCATAACAATATTCCATAAACATTGCCCAGCTAAGTGACGTATACATTTCTGTTGTGCCCATATGGGTTTGGGCTGTGAAACATTCAGACTGGCGTATGATCTTGGTTGCAATTAAGTAGCAACCTGAACAACCACGCAGAAAAAAAAAATATTTCAACAAATCATTGGAAATGAGCAACAATGCATCCTTAATGACTGACAATGTATCCTTAGTTTAAGATCAAGATCTAGTGCAAAACTTAAAGCCCATACAACTAGTCAAACTAATTATGGGCAAAGAAGAGTTTGACTGCATAGAAACTGTAATATTTTACTCTGTCTATTACCCACTGACCTTTTTTCTTAATCTTAATAGGATTATTAAAAAAATCATTTACCTAAATAATGACAAGAGAAAACAGTTTCTGAAATTGAATACAAACTAATCATCTGCAAGTGCCAAAGTATCTCAAACTTTTACAAAGGAACAATAGTTTGTTTCTGTAAAGTCATTTGCTGCAGCCATTACTCACCATTTACTGTTAGAGTGACATCTCTTTCTGCAACTCCTATACGAGGAACAATGGCCTTGCAGGTGTACGTTCCAGCATCCTCCTGGGTAACAGCCTTCAGCTGCAAGGTGTTACCATTACTGAGCACCTGGAGAGAAATTCAAAGAGACAAGTGAGAAATGTGTCAGAAAGGGAAAAGCGAGAAATTAAGCGGTAGAGAGAATAGGCAGACAAAAGAAGCCCAAGCCTTCAGCAGGGGCCCCCTCATTGCAGAGGCAGCGCAGAGGTGGGCTGACCATTGTAAGAAATGCTGGTGGTTGGAGTTTAATTTCATTGTGAAGAGCTTTAATCACAGCATTAAGCACTCCAGCCACCGGTGAGTGACCGTGCTGCTGGGGAGATTGTTGTAATTAAACAGTGGGGACAGATCGTGGCATACTATGTGTGAGTGGGCCCTAGCCTTTGGAGCTCCTACACTCACTCACTCCTTAGCTCATTGATCCTGTCATTCCATCAAGCTGTGATTAATCCATTTATCCCTGCTCTGTCCTCCTCCCTCCCTTTCTCCATCTTCACATCCGCCCTCTCACTCTCTCTATTTTATTTTTTTATTTCAACACACTTATGGAGTAACCCAATTAATCCATTACTCATGGTTGTCTAAGGGACAGTGGCAGTGGGTGGATTAGAAAAATGCCTGCACATTTTGCTTGGAGTGGCTGAAAGTGTTCACTCTGAGAGATGACGGCACCGCTTTTTTTTTTTTTTCCAACAGCGGTCTGCGCTGGGGCTGCTTTCTCCAGCACAGCTTCAGAAATTATATTAGTGGTCTGGAAAGAGGTTCCTAAGGGACGCTACCTTTAATGGTGTGTGCAGGGAAAGACATTTACCAGAGTGATGTAAAGTTAAGATGGAAACTTCTCATTATTTCAACCCAAGAAAGTGACTTTGAGGAGACAGATTCAGGTGTTGTGTCTAGATCTTTTTTTTTTTTTTTACCTGAGCAGCAGAATCACTGTTATAAAAGATACAGGAATTTTTTAAGACAAATACCAGACAATCGCAAAATTAAAAGTAATTAACAGGCACTTTATAAAAAAAAAAACAAAAAAAAATAAAAAAAACATCAGCATTCTTGCTTCCCAATAGCAGAAAAGAATATAACAGAAATATTTGGCAAGTCTGAGATCAATTGAAATAGAGTTTGTTGCTCTGAAAGGTTGGAAAGCTATCCAGTAAGGAACAATCTATTTATATCTTTTACAGTTTAGAAATTTTTGCTGTGAGATTCTGTTAAAAGGTTGAAATAATTTAATACCTGACTTACATTAAATAACTCTCTTTGGGTCTTATTTTAGCTTAGATGGTTCTAACATTACCTCACACTTCCTCCATGACACCACTTTAGAAATATTATGAACTTGGAAGCAGCTTTCTATTATTACTGATTACATGAAAGAGAACCAAGATGGTTGTATACTGTTGGGTTTGACGGTGTAAATACTAATGCGAAAAAAGAGTTGAAAGAAGTTTTCATTACAGTCTAAGGTTCAGAAGTAAATGTTATCAATTTTGTTATATCAAGTGTCGATGAGTGTATCTGGTTAATATCCAGAAGAATAATTAGCCATCTATATATTACAATACTATGAAGATCTGCTCGGATCACTTTATTTCAGCAATGACATTTTCAAAGGTTTTGAGAAATGGATATATCATTAAAATGTAAAGCTAGATTTGTGGAAACCATGGAGGGTAGAAGAATAAATGCCTATTATTCCCACATTTTAGTTGCATTCATTTACAAGCGTTCATATCACTATAAATATATACTGTTATTTCACTTAAAGGTATAGTGGAGGATTTTCAGAACAGAAATGCCTATTAAACACTTGCAAGAGCATGCACAAGCCAACTTCTCCTTGTGAATGCTCTGTTTAAAAGTTGCTGTTTGCATCGCTCATACAAGCTTACTTTCCAAAAGAAGATTTGTAATTTTTCCACTATGTCAGACTCACCACCGGTAAGTGAAAATGGGAACGAGCACTTAGGACAGTCTTATGTAAACATATCACCAGAATGATTGACAATTGTGAGAACCACTTATTTTGATGATTCAAATAACAACATCCTCCACTATACCTTTAAGATAAAGACCATATATGCATGCAAGGCTGATATAAGCAAATTAATCTGCTATTTTCATGGAAAAACAACTGATTACCCTGTATTTTTTCACTCTTTCCACCTTGTATTGATTAATAACAATAATGGCTATCTTTGCTCCATACCCTTTTATGAAGAGATCATCTAACATTTATTTATAAGCCCCTTCAGCAGTTCACTGAGCCATTTCTCATAAGAAAAGGAGTAAAAAAGAAAAAAAAAAGGCTTTACAGGTATACTATCAATATGCAAATTTTCTGAGCCACTAACTTACTCCGTCCTTGTGGGAACTATCTGTTAATCCAGATCATTGGTCCCAGAGGAAGCTAATGGCTACTGCAAGTGTGACCATGACCTAAGTGGGTCTGTACCAATTTAAAAAAAAATTACAATCAAAAGTGTCATAGTGGATTGTTCTAATGAAAGATGAATGATTTCTCTGATCAATATCTAGGTAAAAACATTTACAGCAAAGTGGATTTTTTTTTTCAAAAAAGAATGATTTTTTATACAGCTAAGTAATAAAAAAACATGCATTTAGATTGTTTATAACAAATAGATCAGCCATGACTGGGTAACCATTTGCATCAGCTTCTGGGACCAGTTATTCTGAATTTATACTACCTGATCAGAATTCTGCCTTAAAGGTCTTAGCCCATTCCATTAATCAATCTTACATGAAGCTAAAGGAAGAAAAAAACAACAATAAAAAATGGATATCATGCCAAAAGAGAAGCAAAGTATGGACAATATGGTAAGATGTGATCTTCTTATAAACTGTTTGAAGTCAAGTAGTAATTTCTTTTACTTTGAACCAGTTGTCAGCTGACTGATTGACCAACTGATTGCCTTTGACTTATGGCAGTATGCCATGTGCACATATTTTTCTGTATGAATCTGTCAGTGGGCAGACAGTTTTCTGCCAGAGGCTCTAGCCCGAAGGGAGCTAGCTGTGAGAGTTGTTGAAGATTCAGCCAGGAAAAAAGTGTCAGAAAAAGTGTGTGGGATTCTTGCCTCAAGGCCATGTGCAAATGTTTCTCTCTGGAGGAATGTCAGCATTGAGGTTTAACCATCAAGATAAAGTGGTGACTTATTTTTGCTGGTTGACTTACCACGCTGGAGCCATGCTTTGTCCAGGCCAGAGTCAGAGGAGGGTTTCCAGTCCAAGCACAGGTAAAGGCAGCATCCATCCCTATGTCTACAGTCATTGGCTTGGGCTCTGACAGCAGTCTGGGGCCAACTAATGTAAAGCAAACAGTTTCAATCAGAAAGAAAATTATTTTCAGGCAATATTCACCTTTAAGATGTAAAAAAAAAAAACAACCAAAAAGGCAGCTTGCTCTTCAGCATTTCTAGTTTCTGAACTAAAACTCACACTGCACATCGACCAGTGTGCTGACATTGGTGCTGCCCACGGAGTTGGACACCTCGCAGGAGACTGGGTCGGTGAAGTAAGAGTAGTCCACTGTCACCTCAAGGCTGTCCCCATTGGCCTCTGAGATGGGCACACCTCCTTTTGACCACCTTGAAAGTAAGAGTAACCATATTAAACTGTTTCATTTATTCAGGAAATTTAATTAACCATGCATATGAAAACGGTCATTAGCCGATTCAAGGCCAGTGCCAATCAAACTCTGCCAATCATGAAGCTAATTTCACCTAGATAATTGACTGGCAAAGCTTTTATTTATTTTTTTCTAATACACATCTGTGTTTTCAAGAAAGTCTGAAATTACATACTTTATGATCAAATCATTGCAGATAATATTATTTCCAAGGATCAATGGGAACAAACTGAACTGAAAGAAATGGGATACCTGTAACCAGTGATCTCAGGGTTGGCAGATGCAGAGCAGATGAAGAGAACTTTGGCCCCTTCAGTCACGGTCTGAGGTTGGACGGATAGGGTCACTGAGGGAGGATCTTTGAGGAGCAAACATGTTCATGTTAAAGTTTCAGGACTAACGCTGGCAATCCTTGAACTCTTCATCTATTTTTCATGTTTTAAAGATCTGTATAGACAGGTACATGCACTTACGCTGGACACTGATAGTAACTGAAGTCTGTCGTCCAGCTGGGGCAGCTGGGTTGAGAACCCTGCAGGTGTAGGTGCGTCCAGAGTCACTGTCTTCTGGAATGATTGGAAGCATACTGACAGCTGCCTCCCTCTTCCCATCCTCCATTAGTGTCTACAGAGTTTGGACAACAACAATGTGGAAACTTAGAAAAGAAAACTTCCTCAATGTTGCAAAAAATAAGTTATTACTTTATGACACTGTGGGCTTTATGTTTTATGTGCATAGTTTGAAAATTGCATTCCCGATCTTTGGAATGTCAGTTAAGTCATATATTTTATGTTGCAGCCACAGAATATTGTGCTGTTTCTACAATTTTCAGAATGCTCCCTGTCAGCGCTCCGTGTTGGTTATCATACTTTAAATCTATTTACTCCTTAGAAATCAATACTTCTAAGTAAGTAAAGCAGTAGATTCTTAGGATTTGGCTTACCGGATGCCGACTTTTTCAATTATGTTTCTAAAAAATGCATAAAGAAATTTTGAGTAACGTGATATAGTGCTTTGAAAGGCTGTTTATCTCCCTTTAACTTTTTCACATATTGTCAAGTCAATGGACCGCAAAATGCATTGTATTTTATAGGGGTTTAATGTAATGGACCAAAGTAATGCATTTAATGACAGAATGATAAGAAGACTCTATAAATATTAATGCTAAAGGCTTACTAAAGATATTGAACTAGACTTTAGATCTAAACCATGCCATACTTGCTCTGGCTGCATATCTGAAGTTTTGGGTCATTGCCCGGGTGAGAGCCCAGGTGCCCTATTTTAGCTGTACCATCTTCCCACCAGCTCTGACCAACTTTATTGTAAAAACAATAGGTCCTCACTGCTTCTTTCCAGGGTTTCATTTTTTTGTGACCTTAAAAGCTGGCCCCACTCTACTGTCACAGGACTTAAGAGCTGGACTTACAAAGTCAGTGTCTTAAACACACTGTGGCCAAAACTGAGTTCCTCTGCAATATGAAAATTGTAATTATTTGGCAAAGGCAATTAACTGCAAAACCCTACTTTCTCTAGCTCAACCATCTATAAAGGTCATATTTGTGTAACACAGGACTAATACATGTCCTGCCGACATATTTACAACATCTGAGCTGTAGATGTCTGTACTGACAACTAGTGTGTTGCTTTCTTCTCTGTTGAATACCCTTAATGCTAAGCTTAAGGATGTTTGTGGCCATGTGCGCCTTATTTAATAATGGAGTAAAAATTTACTGAATTCTGGCATTGTGTTATAAGATAACCCTGCTTCTCCACAACTTTCTTCCTGACCTGCCTGGTGTTTTGGCTGAGTCTGCATGATGGTATGGTGCTCACTAATTCTCTCAAGCAAACCTCAGGCCTTCATAGAACAGCTTTATTTACAGTAGGATTCAATTCATAAATTAATTAAACAGAGGCTGCAAAAATATAAATTATGTGGTGATAATGAAATAAAATAGGTTAAAGTTATAGCAAAGTCTAAAGAGAAGATAAGATAACTACAAGGGCCACAGAGAATGTGGGGGGTGAGGAAAAGTGTGACGCATTGAGTGTGAGCTGAACCTTTTCCTTTGACAGCCAAATCAATGGAGCAGTTCCTTGGCTAGACAGACAAAAAGCACATTTATGCTAGATCAAATCACATCACCACCTGTCACCACCACTCACTTGGACAAAGCTTTGTCCGACCCTCCACATGGCCTCAGTTGGGAATATTGACGGATATTTGCTCCGTTATTCACAAAGCGGCCTCATGTTTTAACTGAATATTGATGCCACTCTTCTCCTCTTCAATTTCTTATACCTCACATCCTTTCATATCGCTCACCATTCTGACCCTCGCCCCTACCCCTCAAACCCACGCCCACCTCTCCCTCTTTTGCTTCTTTAAATGTGGCCTTTAGCGTCGTTTAGAGTGGTCAGGGAGCATGAAATATGTGACACTTTCCCAGCCACGGCCCGCTGACGCTTTGGTGCATCTCCATTGTGAGTCTACATTGTTTTGGGTGCTTTCCCCGCTGCAAAGGCTGTACTGTATGAAACGCTCATGCCTGTCTGAGCTTTGGCATGCTCCAGTTATGCTGTAGTATGGTTGCATTAGCAAGCAAAGGGGGGCGGAGGTGGGGGGTGGAAGCATAAGAGGGGAAGGTGGTGTTCAGAAATGAGTGATAAGTGAAAACAGAGGGGGGCAGCTAAGAAGTGGAGAGTAGTAATAAATAAAAATGGAAAGATATTTAGAGTCCTACCCTCAAGAGGAATTATCTTTTCTTTTAATAGTCCTGTATTCAATTATCTATAAATTAGTACAAGATTACACGGGCGGTTAATGGTTAAGCCTACTCTCACACTACCTTGGAATAAATGGCCATCTCCATGACCTCTCCGTCTCTGTACCAGGTGATATCAGCTGCAGGTTTAGCTCCTGAAGCTCTGCAGGTAAGGTTGTGCGGTGTGTGGGCCTTCAGACGTACAACAGGGCCGCCTTCCACCACTGGGTCAGATGGAGGAACTGTGGATCAGAACAAAAACATAGCCATTAAAAAAAAGGGCAAGATTCAGGTGAACGCACATGCAGGCTAAGGCTTGCTATAGCTTTAAGCTTATCAATGTATGACTACAACTTATTACTACTAAGCATCTTTTAACAAGGTGTAGTTTAAGACATAAGGACCAAAAAGAGTTGCTAGTTGGCAAGAGGAAACAAAAAAGAAACACTCAACCTTGTTTATTTCCTTTCTGGAGACTAGCATTATTACTCTATTTGCTCCCACCGTTGCAGAGTGATGTTTCAGTCGAATTGCTTATTTGTTCATTTATTTGCATGGTTTCGCACGCACCACTGGCAAGCCGAGCGTGCCACCCCTGATGAAGGCGTCTATCTCCCCCGACCAATAAGAAAAGGCATAAACATGGGGTTTGTGCTGGCCTTTCTCGCACCCTCCGCCGAACCAATTTCGCTGTGTGTATCTGAATTGTCAGAGGTCCTTCCGTTGCCGCAGCATGGACACTAATGGAATCCGAGTGCTAGGTGATTTTAATTTCCATGCCGATTCCCCTGACTGCACTCCCACCGTTGACTTCTTTGACTGTGCAGGATTGCTTTGGTCTCATCTGGACAACATTGATTTATACACACACACAAACACACACCTACACACCCCACACACATGCAGACTGTTGCACATACAACACAGGAAAGCCGCAGTTCCTTCTTGATAGTTATGTCCTCACAAACAGCTAAACTGGATCCTGATTTCATTTCTATGTGTATTTCACAGGCATAGTGATAATGAACATCCAGCAGGAGTCTTAGGAAGCTTTCCCAGGAGAAGTGGTAGATTTTCTTTGATTCTCATGGCTTTGCATTGTGTTTATGTATGTATATTCATATATAGATGCAACTGAAGAGTGCTTTGATCATTGTTGTGCAGCTGTGAAACTAAATATAAAGGTGAGCAGTTGAGCAAATATCCACAAACCTCAAACTTTTCACATATTGTATCATTACAGTCAGCAAATATGATGTATTTTATTTGCCTTTTATCTCCCAAACCAGCAAAATTGTTCCCTTAGTGTGAAGTGGAAGGAAAGTTACGCATGGTTGTCAAGATTCTGCACAAATACAAATGTAAACAAAATGATTTTTCCCCCATTGTTGTTTTAAAGAATATATTAGCAACTCTTTGTATAGTCCAGGGTTTCAAAGAGTCCCGTCAACATATTATCTCACCTGACTGGGAGCTCATTTGGTGTTCCTCCAAAAGGTACCACTGGCCTCTAGATTGCTTTGCTAAAGTATGCTACCCTTTTATAGCCTTTGAATTTAGATAAACACCTGTCTTAGCAGGTTTGCCGTTTACTGTACTTTTCCCCCCAGTTTCTAAAAGTGGATTTGCCAGTGCTTTGTGATCTTTACAAAGCTTGGGATATTTTTTTTATAGTCAGACTGTACTTCAAACACCAAAACAGCTTTCTCCCTAACATATCTGCTGTTCTAGAATTGCAATGCTTAAGGTAGTTGCACTTTGGAGTAGCTCCTTTAGCTTGATTCTGATATTCTTTTTTATTCAATTTCTCCTTGGGGTTAATTAAGTATTTTTGAGTTTAATTTTCTTGAACATGATGATGCTGTTCATTTACTGTTCTGTAAAAGCACCATGTTGCCTTCACAGAACAGCTGAAGTTTATATACAAACTGGTGGACTCTTTTTGCAAATTAGGTGGGGGGGATTTGGTGATTCTATTTACAGTTCTTAGAGTAAAGGGGGATAAATACTAATAAATACCACACTTTTGAGATTATGTTGAAAATTTTGTGCATATTATCTTTCTTTCACTTTCCAAATATTTATCACTTTGCATGGGGCTAGATGATGAAATGCACCCCATAATACACTGAGGCATGTGGCTGAAATAGGGCAGATAGTCTTTTGTTCTATTTGAGATCCATGGGAAGTTACCCTACAAAGAGAAACCGGATCTCCAATCGACAACAATAAATTAAAGAACAGCAGCTTCTGAAGCTCAGTGTGTCATAACAGCTCTGCATAAATTCTTCATTTGAGTTCCCCTCTCCTGACAAGGATTATTTGCGTCTGTAGTAATATATAGAATATTGACAGGACTAATTAATGGAGTGGCGTTCCTTTGTATGCCACCAGATGCCAGCAGTGCTTTCTGTCTTGCATAAGGTCTGTCACTTCTAATCCTCTTTTCAATCTGACCAGCACTATCACCCCTCCCCGCCACTACCGCCACCCTCTTCCCTCCACTCTTGAAACTCTGTGTGAAGAAGTAGATCACTCACATCACGTTAATGTACAAAACCGCCTTGCAGTTGATAGATGTTGTGGCTTGCTGCAAAATGTGCTAACTGTGCAGATCTGGACCTTCAAGCGACTATGCGAGTCATTTGTGACTGCAGCAATCACATTATCTTGGACCTGTACAGTCTTGATTATTGCCACTGAGAGTATAGGCGTTTCCCCTCATTTTATTTTTCTTGCTGAGGTTTGCTTGGCACTCTTGTATAACAGGTTTTTGCAGAATGAAAACAAGATTTTAAGCAGCTATGGCAAAAATCGTTACCCACTTAGTCAAGAGGAGGTAAAGTAAATGTATTAGTACATTACACAACTTTTAAACAGAGTTAGAATTGTACAGTGCATTGAAAATCCATTGGCTGTTTACAGATTTCTTTTCTTTGTTTGTGTGTTCTTTTTAAACTTAGGAGTTTCAACATCAAACATATTCTAATGTCATCCAAAATTAACGTGAGTAAATAATAAGTGCAGTTCTTAATGGATGATTTTACTCCTTTAAGGCAAAAAAATATATATAGTATATCCATGCCAGCAAGACAAATTGTGAAAAAAAAGAGTAAATCTGATCTGATAATACTAAATCTGATTGATTTTGATTTGTTTAGTCTTCTTTCTATACTTTTTCTAAATTAGAAAACAGAAATTACCTGTCCAAATAGTGCTGATAGTAAGGAAGTAGGACGTGAAAAATGGATGCTTCCTATTTATAGTTTATCTAGCAACATAGGAGCCATTCGTTTGCCCACAACCCTTTGCCTGACAGGCACAACCAACCTCACAGAGTTGAATAAAAATACATTGTTCTGTTACCTGTACGGTGTGTGACACATACAAATGTACACAGCTTTATATGTTTTGGGTTTTATAATGGGAAGCTTCAATCAGTCACTACATCTGTGTAACTTTTTGTTTTTAATTTATAGTTCTTTTCTAAAAGGCAGTAATCCTAATTTGACAAGCATTATCCATGTATGTTTCTATTTTGTAATGATGTCTGCAAGGGTGAAAGCTGTTTGGATTCAGCACAGCAGGCTTGAGTTCTTTTCTTACAGTTGACTTACTGTTGAAAGTTTATGGGATAATAGCAAGGAACTACAATTTGCACCACTCAGATGGAGGGGTAGTCAGCAAACTAAGCCTTGAAGAAATGGATCAAATCATGACACACATCAAAGAGTTGTAGATTGGAACAATTTCTTTTAAATTTACCAATTTTTGCAAATTACATTTGTCTTTCTGCCTTGGTGTTGCATGATGAAGACACTCCCCTTACTTTTCCCCCCTTTTTTTACAGCCCTGCCAGCCTGCAGACCCTCACAGGGGCTGACTATGAGGATCATGATTGAGCTGTGTATCTTACCTAGTACAGTGAGCTTGGCACGGTGGGAGCGTAGAGCCGCCTGTGTACCCTGACACTCATACACTGCGTCATCCGCCAACTCTGCTGAATCGATCAGCAAGCTGTGCTCGCCTGATAGCGGGTCGCCCATTAAGGAATAGCGCGTCCAGCCTGCATGAAGCCAGCACAGTGAATAGAGTTAGAAGCAAACAATCTGAGGAACAACAAACACATATTTGAAAGGAATAAAAAATAAGCAGGGTCCTTCTTTGAACAAAGGCAACAAAGAAGTGGAAAAGCTCTTTCTAAGGCACAAGTGAAAAGCATACAGCACCTTACAGGGACCAGGCATTTAGTTATTGTGTTAGCACAGTGGCATGAAGCTTGAAATGCAACACGTGATAGTTCTGCTGTATGAGGAGGCTGTCCTTTAAACACAGACACAATAAAGATGGGGTTGCTAAGGTCAAGAGGAAGCCTCTCCACTTTCTCGCTGCGCTGCTACACATTTAAATGTCAGTGCGTGACAAAAGCCAATTGATTATCCATTTTCCTACAAGACTCTTAAAATGTTAAGCAACAAATTAAAGTTTGGTGTGTTCAGCAGGATGCTGATCTGTCAGCGGCGCTTTCTCACCATTCATTTGTATAAAAATAACAAAACAATGGCTGACAGAGAGGGGGTTGATTTCTAATGAGATCAGGCATTGATTGCAACAAGACCAAATGAGACAGAAAGGACAAATAAATTTAGAGGGAAGGTGAGGTCAGTAGAAACAAATATAGTGAACCTACCTGGTAGGTCTCTCTCTCCACCCAATGCCAGACCATCTTTGGTCCACTGGACCATTCCTCTGTAACCCACAATCACACAGGGCAGAGTCACGGACTGGCCCTGCACCACTACCTGGTCCTGGGGCTGCTGGGAGAAGTAGGCCGCTTTGGTGGCTGCTGGGAGACAGAAATAGAAGGACAATGTGAACATTGTTTCTCTGCTAATTGGATTTACTTATTAGTTGTAAACATACAGTTGTACAATAGAGAGAAATCCAGTGGTAATTATTTTTTTCAGGAACTTTTTTATAAAAATTGGGTGTTAAATTATGGATTTTGAAAGAGTGACAAAATACCATTAAACCAAATAAAAAACCAAACTTTCTTCTGGTTGGGTCATCACAAGAAATATTAAAACAAGAGAGCAGATCAGTGACAAACCACAGCAGACAAATGACTACTGTCAAATTTAACATTAGATTTAGCAAAATTTCAAGGTGGGTATCATCTGAACTTTAGAACGAAAGCCTAACTTCTGGGAAAATATAGGTTACTTAGTTTTCTAGTTAGTTTGTTACACCTTAACTATTTCTAAAGACCATATGCTTGTATGTTCACTGACATGACGCAAACAGATACTTCCAGTGAGAAAAATCTGCCACTCTTTAAATTTGTTTCTTTGTAAAAATGGGTGTTAAACAATCAAAACACCATAAAAGTTCCCGGGGGAACCATCCATTTGAGCCTGTTGAAAGTCAGTTAAAGACACCTGCTGCCGTTTCGCCGCTGTGTTTAAGTAAAAGGCGTATACTCTCCCTGCGGATTGGCTGGATTGTCTTCACACACATGCCGAAGCGCAGCATGAATACAGATAGTCAGCTCCAACTGTTTGTGCCACTATGCTAAAGATTGAGTATTACAAATCCTACTGGCAGGGGAAAGATGGCAACACTCCAGAGGTAACTAATCCATAGGGGAAGGTAGGGTGGTGAAGAGGGTGATGAGGTGGGTTGGTTATCTTTGCAAGGTGTCTGTGTGATTTGGGAAGAGGACTTATAAAAAAAAAAAAAATGAAAAAAAAAATCTTCCCTCTTTCTGTGTTGCTCACAGAATAAAGACTGTCCTATTCATTCAGTGCTAAGCCCCCCCTCCCCCTTTTTAACTGCTTCCCTTGGTGTGAGCGCTTAAACAGACAGACCCCCCCACCACCACGGCAAAGAAAACCCTTGAAAGGAGGGCAACATACGGTGGCCAGAGACACGCTATTGTCCCCTTGTCCCTCTCTTTTAATAGGCCTCTTCATTTCCAATCAATCCTGCTAAATGCAAGTTTAATAGCTTTTCAATAGCAGCTTTTCCCCCCAAGAGGGTGGATGGGATTTTCTCCCAGTCTGAGTCTTTTCTCTTTCTTCATCTCTTTTCACTCCATTCCCCGTATTTAAAAAAAAAAAACCGTTTGGAAAGGGAGGGGAATTCCGAGATTGTTGGCACTGTTTATTCCAAACTCAATTACCCACTTCATCTCTGAGTCCAAAATGGACTGAACGGAAAGGGGGGGGGGACGGGAAAGGGGGGGTCGTCTTCCTTCATCCTTTGAGTCCTCCTCCCGCCAGTGTCACGCAACATCCCAATTAAAAATGCCAAACAGTGAGCTCCTCAAAAACGTTAGTTCATCCCAAGCACATGTAGTTCTCAGCTTCCCCCTTAAAACCCATTTTCATTTTTAACCCATTGTTTCTAATTCCCCATCTGGCCCCCAAGGAGGTGTTCATAGTTTAATAAAAGGAAAAAAAAAAAAAAAAAAACTTTCCAATATTCTCAGCCTCCACATTACTTTATCTGAATGTGAGTTGGCAGTGGGTAAAAACAGGTAGGCTGTATGTATGTCACGCACTGTGGATCAAAAGAGGCCAATTTGAGAGCGTCAATGAGAAGTGTAGCGTCTTTGAGCTCAGGCTATTAGGCATTTACCGAAGGCTTGAATTTTCTCGTCATAGTCTTAAAAAAAAAAAATAAATGTCTTTTTTTTCTCTGCCTGTCCCTAACGTGCTGCCTTTATGAGCTACTGAGTGTTTCCTCTTTCTCTCCATGCAGAGCGAGCTGAGGGTTTTCTTTCCCATCCTTAAAGCAGTGCAGACATTGATTGCAATTAAGTTTCTCGCCCAGAATATCTAAATGTTTACAATGGGTAATAATTCACTGCATTGGTTGATTGTTGAGATGGATTACATGCACTGAATTGTTTCTCTTTACCTCGCCTACATACCATTTTTCATGCTTGCAAATGGCAATCAACCCTACGCTTGCACACATACAAGTGCAGTTATACAAACATAAAGTGCAGCGCATGTGCTGTAGAGTGTTCTTTTATACCATATAAGTGATTCATGGCTCTCTAGATCCCTTATTGAAAACGCTGAACGGAACATCTCGACTGGCTAATGACTCATGCTAGATTCCTTTAATTCCTCCTTGCTGAATTAGACAATTCTTTGACGGTGTATTAGCAGCTTAATTACATGAATACATTTCTGACATGGAGGGAGATGGAATAGAACAGAGAAAGAATTGAAAAAGTAAGAAGATGTGGGTGTGAAGAGGATGGTTGTCAGTGTGGGATGCTGTGTCACGCACTTGTACTCAAGTACACAAACCCAAACGGCGATACTTTGAGTGTTTTTTTTTCCAACAAGCTAATATGAAAAGTTACATACTTATAAAAACAACGGCAGCCCTCTTAAAATTTCTTCTGTGCATCCATTTATTCATATTTTATCAGCTATTGGACTACTGGGTAACAGTTCCTTAAGGTAAACCCACTCTCCTCTTTTTGCCCAGCAACCCTCTCAAGCCCATTTGGGGGGATTCGAAGACACTTGGAGTTTGCACTCTTGAGCCCTGCTACTGGATTCTTCCCCTTTGGGGAGGTCCAGAAAATGATTTAAATATCAGAGAAACATCTAATTGCAGACATTCTGAAATTCATTCATCTCTATTTCCATCCTGCTATTGTTGATTAACAGGACAGCATATGACCCTCATCCACCGCCTATATCTAGAAGCTCATTCTTATAGTCATAATCTACAGTATTTCTCATGACCATTGATGAATAGTGGAACACGAATAGATCAATAAGTAAGTCATTTTTCTTTGTGGTTGAACCTGCAGCAGTATGACATTACTTCTGATGAGGCTCCAATCGCTGTGGCCATCTCCTGCTGTGTTCTACAATCATCTGAGACTTTAAGTAGATACTTGATCTATTAACCTTGTGGTAGAGGTAGACAATCAAACTTGAAGGACCAGTCCACCCTCTTCTGGTTAACAACCATGACCTTAAGATTCAGGTGACCTGATTCTTATCCTGCCCAGCTCAAATTCTGCTATAATCCAATCCATTGCTTGCTGAAGGATATTGCTGTAAGATGCCAATGGCACTATATAATCTGCAAAATGCAACATTTGAGAACCCAAAGTAGCCATTCTCTTTATTAGCATGCCCAAATCAGGGTCTGAGAGAGGCAGTCCTAAACAAACTGGGATTAACTGGACTTTGTGCTGACAATACACTATTTCATCCACCTCATACTTCCAAAAAAATCAGCTTGGGTGACATGGGGATGAATTTTCTCTAGAGTCACAAAAACACAATGGGATCTGATAATCAATATTCCATGAACCCCATTAGCAACAATGAAAGGGCAATGAAATGTTCCACTAATATGAAAGCAACACTGCTATCCAGGGTTGAGGAGTTCTGTGCCCTATGTTTACTAAGGCCTCTTGTCTAGGTAAATATGTATGAAGGTAATTACAGTTGTACAAACTCATTGCAACATCACATCTTTTAAGTTCTTAAAGCAGCAAAATATGTTAGTTTTTCATGTTTCTTGCCTTGCTTCGTGTTTAGTATGTGCTTTCCTCTCCTGGTAACAAGGTCGACACACATTAGGCCTGTTAAATTTTAATCCAGATTTCTTAAAATGGAATACCATTTCACACTGCCAGATGCAGATGAAACTGTGTATTTCTGGATGATGCTAAGACCCGCGTGTGTGTTTTTTTTTTTTTTTGTTGGTTACCTTGCTTTGGTAATATTTGTTTCTGTACACATGCATCTGAATATGCGAATGAGCATCTAGGACAGAGCATGTGTTAATAGGAAACACAACGTGTCAGGCACCAGAGGGCATGTTTAGCAGTTGCTTTGACACTGTGACTTTGCTGTGACATGGTGGGAGTTAAGTGCAGCACAGAGTCCTCCCAGATATTACTGTCACCTACTAAAGAGCTTTACATTGACTGTTCTCCCTTTTTATATGATCTAAAAATCACATTAGAAGGGATCAAGATAAGATGAACAGATGTTGGCAGAAAGAAAACATTCACCACTGGACATCCTCAAATTCGACTGTCTATGTGTCAGTACAAACTATGTTACCAAAAAATAAAAAAACAAGAAATAATAATATTAGCATTTCAGATGACCTTAAGAGAAACTATGAATCCAAAAATCATAGCACATATATTAGAATGTTACCACAGTTACTACTGAATATAAAATAGAAATATATAATCTAAAAACCCAAGGCTGTTTGTTAATTTAACAGGAGGCCACGTCCTTCAATAAAACCATAAACTAATACAAAACTCTGGTCCCTTTTCATATTTCCCCATTTGCTCATTGACACACAGCTGAATACATCAAGACAGATGCTCCATCTTGCATTGTCATTGTACTCTATGACCTCAATCAAATTTTTTTGTTGAAGAAGATCATGTTCCATAGTTTGGGGTCTGTTTTTGGTAAGTCAACACCTTTTCATTCATGTCCGAAAGAGCTATGAAACAAGGGTAAAATAAAGCCAGTTTTATTTTCCATAAAAGGCAAACACAACAAAATAAAATTGATTAAGAAGAATCTGGAATCTGGCAAACTATGAAAAATTAAAGCTCCAAACTTGGAATAAACAACCTTTTTTTCCAGAATGTCATCTATTGTGTCTTGTCTAGATACGGCTGGAAAATGGGAACTCAGTTTCTTTCTGTGCGGAATTATTATCCCTTTGTTTTGAGCTGAGCTCTTTTGTTTTTCTTTTCCAGTGTGGATACACTTGTGCGTATATTTGTGTGTACTAAGCAGACAGTAGAGCTGAGCGGCTGTACCAAAGAGTCCC